GAGCAAGAATGAAAAATTTTAACTGTAGTTTCAAGTCAAAAAGGGCAAAATTAATAAAATCCTAACAGAATTACTTCTCCTGCCATGTTTGGGACCATGATGGTAAACAGCGCAACTTTCAATAATTTCTAGGAATACAGTGATAGTAAAATTACAAAAAACAGATATGGTATTTCAGTCTAGCCTATGCTTACATTTAAACAAATAGTACCTTAATGCAGGGAGTTGTTGACCAAGTTAATTCCAATATAAGTTGAAAATATTCTTAAAAAAAAATAAAAAACAAATAATAATGCTCATTTATTGGCTCAGAAAAGCTTTTTATTTTTGCTGTCCTGATATAGACTCCAAAAAGTAACTTATTGGCCAATTACCTGCACCATCTTTGTTTTTGCTGCTTTTTAGCAAAATTCATAGTTATATTGATTTGGAATTTATTATGGAAGTCAACATACTACTTTGTTTACAATTTCTTAATTCTATGACAAATAATTTTATGTTCAGCACTTCTTTCTTCAGGTGATAAGCATGTAAAGCAATTGTAACATGCTCTAAAACCATTTATATATTATAATATTCATGTCTGCATTTTCTAAAGAAAGTAAATTATATTTATCTTCGAGACGTAATGTGCCTTTAGGATTGAAAATTTAACACAAAAAATTAAAACTTATGAAGGAAAACTTTCAATAAGGCACATTAAAAAAGCACCCTGAAAACAAAGGACCATTACTCCTGACTTTCCTCCTAGAGTCCTGTAGACATGTGATGGAACTTAGAACAGACCGATGTCGATAATATCAATATAATTGTAGGTATCTGGCCTTCAGATGAGATATGCTATTTCATTTGAAAGAAATTATTATACTGGTTTTAAAATATATATTTCAGTAAAAAGAATGGCTGTTCAAGGAAAATGGGAAAACACAGAATTGCTGTCCAGCTCTGATGAAGATTTTAAAATATACTGCCAGCCATGTGACCATGATGGACCAAGAATGCCAGCTTTTGGCTTCTGTACAGACTGTAGAGAACATTTGTGCAAAACATGTTTCAATTTACACAAAAGACATACTCTGTCTAGAGACCACATCCTTCTTGAGAAAAGCAACATGCCCCAAACCTTTATCTCTGCAACTGGCAGCCAGGCCGATGCCCTCACAACATTATGCTCACGTCATCAGAAAGAAATGATAAAATTCTTCTGCCATGATCATAAAGCTTTACTGTGTCATGTATGTATTACCATGGACCACCCTAGGACTTCATGCAAAGTTCACTATATCCCTGAAATCTCTGCCAGCATGATTGATAGCAAAGAATATCAAGATATCTTGAAGGCAATTGAAGATGTGTCAAAAGACTTTGATAGTAAGTTTGAATATTTGCAGAAAATGATTGAAAAATCGGACAAATCTTTGACAGATGCAAATGGCAGACTTAAGGAAAGTTCCGGATAGAAATCAATGAGAGGCTAGACAAACTAGAAAGTGAAACTGAAACTATTGCTAAAGCAATCCAACAGGAGAACAGTTTGAATCTGGAAAAATTCAAAACAAAATGTGAAGAGGTGACTAAATTTCTAACACCATGGTTAGATACCATTCCACATCTCAACAAGCAAATGCAAGCAGACAGACTGTTCATGCAAATCAAATTGGCGGAACAAATGATCCAAGATTACAAGGAAACTATCTTACAGATAGCAGCAAATGATGTCAAGCAGTACAAATTTCAGCCAAACAAAGATCTTAAAAGCCTACTTCATGAAGAAAAGTTCCTTGGATCTTGGGAAACTAAACAAGTTAGACCACAACGTCCTTCGAAAGCCCCTTGTCGTGCCAAATCCAGGAAGAGTGCAAATGTTGGTGAAATTTGCGTTAAAACATTCAAAGATCAATCAATTTGCTTTGTAACAGGAATGGCCCTCCTTACTCCTGATCTTCTTGTAATTGTGGACCAAGGTAACAATGCTATCAAAATGGTAGATATTACAAAGAAGTCTGTTATAGACGAGATTCACTTGGATGAAACACCCACGGATATAACATCTGTTTCTAAGCATGAACTTGTTGTTACTCTTTCATGTGCACTTCTGTTTTTATCAGCTTCTAGCAAGACACTCAACAAGGGACACACTCTCAACCTTCATGGACACTGTACAGTGAGCGTTAGCTGTTACCAAGACAAAATGGTCGTGTCATTTTCCAGTCCTGCAAAAGTTCAGATACTTGATATGAGTGGCATTATCCTTGGGACAGTTCAAGATGAAACTATTTTTAAAGAATCAGGATATGTCACAACATGTGAAAGTTGCATCTATGTATCTGACATCAGTATTAACACTGTAACTAAGTTAGACTGGCAGTGTAACGTGATGTGTAAATATGTTAGTAAAGGTGAAGCAAGGGGTATAACAATGTCAAATGGTGAAAATTTCTTTGTCTGTGACTGGAGAAACAACATGATAAAGGAAGTATCAGGGGATTGTTCAGAAGAAAAAGTAGCAGTGAAGACCAACAGGGAACCATATGCTGTATGTTGGTGTAATGAAACAAGCATGATGTACATTAGCAGCTGTAGCCTCCCAAACAACAACAAAGACAATTTTCTTCAGATCTTCAAATTGTCCTAAGGTGTATCAACAACTAAATGATATCTATTAGCCACTCTCTGTGTCTTAAATAGACTAAGCAAGCATCCATATGTCCAGAAGTAACCACAATGTGTTATTTAGGTGACAGAGTTGGCTGGCCGAATGAATCTTAACAGGAAGGAATAAATTAGGATAAATCTACAAAAAGTATTGAAGGAATACATAAATAAACATTTACAAACTGTATGGAAGGAATACATTAACACACCTCTACAAACTTTATGGAAGGAATACATTAACACACCTCTACAAACTGTATGGAAGGAAAACATTAACACAGCTCCACAAACTGTATGGAAGGAATACATTTCAACACACTACAAACTGTATGGAAGGAATACATTAGCACACCTCTACAAACTGTACAGAAGGAATTACATTAGCACATCTCTACAAACTTTATGTAAGGAATACATTAGCACATCTCAACAAACTGTATGGGAGGAATACATCAACACAACTCTACAAACTGTATGGGAGGAATACATTAACACACCTCTAAAAAATGTATGGAAGGAATACATTTAAACACATCTACAAACTGTACAAAAGGAATACATTAACACACCTCTACAAACTGTATGGAAAGATTATATTAACACAACTCTACAAACTGTATGGAAGGAATACATTTAAACACATCTACAAACTGTACGAAAGGAATACATTAACACACCTCTACAAACTGTATGGGAGGAATATATTAACACACATCTACAAACTGTATGGAAGGAATACATTTAAACACATCTACAAACTGTACGAAAGGAATACATTAACACACCTCTACAAACTGTATGGGAGGAATACATTAACACACCTCTACAAACTGTATGGAAGGAATATATTAACACACATCTACAAACTGTATGGAAGGAATACATTTAAACACATCTTCAAACTGTACGAAAGGAATACATTAACACACCTCTACAAACTGTATGGGAGGAATACATTAACACACATCTACAAACTGTATGGAAGGAATACATTTAAACACCTCTACAAACTGTATGGAAAGAATATATTAACACACCTCTACAAACTGTATGGGAGGAATACATTAACACACCTCTACAAACTGTATGGAAGGAATATATTAACACACATCTACAAACTGTATGGAAAGAATAAATTATCACACATTTACAAACTGTACAGAAGGAACATATTAAACATTTAATACACATTTACAAACTGTATGGAAAAAATGTATTATATTATACATCTACAAACTGTTTGCAAGGAATGCAATATACACATTGTTTAAGATGATAATTATATTCTTAAGTACATGTATATCAAACAGCTTTTAATAAACTTGTTATATAGTTTGACTAATGCTTTTTGTCATACATCTTTTAAGTACTTGCAATATTAGAATTGTATGTCACCAATATAGATGTGGTTCAGTAAACACCCACATTACACTCTCACCATCAGCTGTATTAAACAACATTATATTTGAATTTCATACAGATGATTTTCTTGTATACCTGGCATGAATGTGCTTATTGATTAAGCAGATTTTGTACCAACATGCACTCATTCAGTCCCTTTTAACCTATTTTTGCACATTTTACATATTGGATCTACTGACTCATATAATTATGTAAAATTTCTAAAATACCTCTCTTTCTACAGCAAACATGACAAAACTTGGAAAAACTGTAGATAGAAAACTGGATGCATTATGAATATAGTTTACTAAACAAAACTGTTTATAGCTAACTTGGAAAACTGTATATACCCGGTTAGCTTATACTATAACAAACTGTTTATAGCTAACTACACAAACTGTATATAGTTTTTACTAGAAAAAACTGTTTATAGCTAACTAGATAAACTGTATATAGCTTATACATGAACAAACTGTTTATAGCTAACTAGATAAAATGTATATAGCTTATACTAGAACAAACTGTATATAGCTAACTAGAGACAAACTGTATATAGCTTATACTAGAACAAACTGTATATAGCTTAAACTAGAACAAACTGTATATAGCTTAAACTAGAACAAACTGTATATAGCTTATACTAGAACAAACTGTATATAGCTTAAACTAGAACAAACTGTATATAGCTTATACTAGAACAAACTGTATATAGCTTAAACTAGAACAAACTGTATATAGCTAACTAGACAACTAACTAGACAAACTGTATACAGCTTATACTAGAACAAACTGTTTATAGCTAACTAGACATACAGTATATAGATTATACTAGAACAAACTGTATATAGCTAACTAGACAAACTTATATAGCTAACTTGGAAAAACCGCATATAGCTAACTAGACAAAACTGTATATAACTTATACTAGACAAAATTATTTAAAGCTAACAAGACATTACCTTCTTCTCTAGAAATATATTCCTCTTCTGTATAGTATTTCTAACTATCATGATAGTTGATGATGGCCACTCTATAAGACTGTTTTGTGGCATCAGGTAAGAATTACTCTTTCTTGGCCTCGGGTCAGGATGACTGTTTTCTAGCCTCGGGTCAGAATAACTGTTTCCTAGCCTCCGGTCAGAATTACTGTTTCCTAGTCTCGAGTCAGAACAACTGTTTCCTAGCCTTGGGTCAGAATTACTGTTTCCTAGCCTCGGGTCAGTACAACTGTTTCCTCGCCTTGGGTCAGAATTACTGTTTCCTAGCCTTGGGTCAGAATTACTGTTTCCTAGCTTCGGATCAGAATTACTGTTTCCTAGCCTTGGGTCAGAATTACTGTTTCCTAGCCTTGGGTCAGAATTACTGTTTCCCTGCCTTGGGTCAGAATGACTGTTTCCTAGCCTTGGGTCAGAATGACTGTTTCCTAGCCTTGGGTCAGAATGACTGTTTCCTAGCCTTGGGTCAGAATTACTGTTTCCTAGCCTTGGGTCAGAATGACTGTTTCCTAGCCTTGGGTCAGAATTTCTGTTTCCTAGCCTTGGGTCAGAACTACTGTTTCCTTGCCTTGGGTCAGAATTACTGTTTCCTAGCCTCGGGTCAGAATTACTGTTTCCTGGCCTCAAGTCAGACAGTTTACAGCAGAAAGACAAGCAAGGAATGGTCTGAAACTGCTTGTGAACTCTTCGTAAATTATGCTCAGAAATCATGTGTGTACTTCCATAGTCTATCAGAAACACCTAGAGATGGATATCATACAATAAGAGTATATCAACATAATTTTACATACTTTTCAGACACACTTGGATATTTGTCTTGAAACATATGAAAATAAATGCTAAGAAAACCAAAAAATATTCTGTGTTTAAATTTGTAAATAGATTGAATAGTAATATATTATACCTCAATTATTTATTCTTCTGGTTTTCATTTCAACTGTTTTACAATCTAACAAATTAAAACAAGAGGGCCATGATGACCCTGATTCGCTAAACGGAAACAACTGCTTTTCAGTGTTGGAAATTATCCATTGTCAATATTTTCTGATATTAAATTTGAGCCAATCAAATTAATATGAGCAAACTTCATAAAAGACTACCTAATAATGCTACAAAGTTTGGTGATCATCTATTAATTATTTCAGTAAGAAATGATGTTCAAAGGTTTTTCTCTTTTTGGCTTTAGTGGCCCCTAAAGGGGGCAATCAAATTAATATGAGCAAATTTGATAAAAGCGTACTTAAGAATGCTACAAAGTTTGGTGATCATCCATCAATTAGTTCTGTAGAAATAGACATTTAAAAGTATTTCTATTTTTAGCTTTAGCAGCCCCTAAAAGGGGCCAATCAAATTAAATTGATCAAACTTGATAAAAGACTACATAAGAATGCTACAGACAAAATTTAGTGATCATTTATAATTAGTTCTATAGAAGAAGACATTTAAAGGTTTTTCTATTTTTAGCTCTGTTGACCCCTAAAAGTGGCAAATCAAATTAATATGAGCAAACTTGATAAAAGACTACCCAAGAATGCTACAGACAAAGTTTGGTGATCATCCATCAATTAGTTTTCTTGATATAGATGTTTAAAGGTATTTCTATTTTTAGCTTTAGAGGCCCCTAAAAGGGGCCAATCAAATTAATATGAGCAAACTTGATAAAAGACTACCCAAGAATGATACAGACAAAGTTTGGTGATCATCCATCTATTAGTTCTGTTGTAGAAGATGTTTAAAAGTTTTTCTATTTTTAGCTCTGTTGACCCCTAAAAGGGGCCAATCAAATTAATATGAGCAAACTTGATAAAAGATTACCCAAGAATGCTTAATACAAGGTTTGGTGATCACCCATTAATTAGTTCTGTAGTAGAAGATGTTTAAAGGTTTTTCTATTTTCAGCTCTGTTGACTCCTTAAAGGGGCCAAGTGAAATGACACGAGCAGATTCAAGTGTGACTGTCACAAGGATGCTACAGACCAAATTTGAAGTAAATCTGCCCAGCAGTTTCAGAGAAAAAGACGATTGTTGATGCATGACAGCGGACGACGGAGTATCCCCCTTTGATACTAATAGCTCACCCTGAGCCTCCGGCTCTGGTGAGCTAACAAGAATGCAGCAATGCCACAAAACATGATTTCTACAATCACTTGAGAATGTAGGAGTTTCGCACAGAAGTGTATTTCTCTATTTCTTTTTAAAGAAAAAAACAACAAAGGGCCATAATTCTGCCCCAAAATGTTTAAATCAAAAACACTGGCAATATGCTCTGCAGTGGTAAATACCAGCTACCATCCATACTGCCTAGCACAAGGTTAAACTGAATTAACAAAGTTAAAATATGACAATAAAGTCCAAATCACAAAAGCATAATAATCATCTGAATGAAGTAGTTATCATTTCACCTATTATAATAATTCACTTGCAATTTTTAAGGTTGCAACTATTTTTTTAATTTGTTAATTTTAAAACAAGCCTATTTAGATAAGTAAAATAAATTTTTCAAAGCCTGAACATACCTGAAAGCTTTGTTTCTTTGGAGTTGCATTTGTGATTTTACCACGGTACCAAATGTTTTTAGACATGAGAAAGGCAGCACAAAACCAACCCACTTCCCACTTGACCATATTATCAGGTTTAGTGTTCCAATAAGTCATCTGCATTTTCTTCATTAGCCTGTAAATAAACAAGATATGTTTGTAAAACATGTATGCCCCCTATCAGCAGCCAATTAGTCATGTAAAAGGTTATTATGCATGACTTCTGACCCAGTGATCAAACAATTAATAAGGGTTATCAAGTATCTACTAGTTCATGACCTTAACCTTTGACCCTTGACCCAAAACTCAATAGGGGTCATCTGCTGGTCACTACCAATCATCATACAAAGTTTGAAGTTCCTAGGCCTAAGCGTTTTTAGTTAATTGATCGGAAACCGTTTTTACCTACCAAGCGTCAATGTGACCTTGACCTTTGACCCCTTGACCCCAAAATCAATAGGTCATCTGCTGGTCATGACCAATCACCATACCAAGTTTGAAGTTCCTAGGACTAAGGGTTCTTAAGTTATTGATTGGAAACATTTTTACCTACAAGGTCAATGTGACCTTGCCCTTTGACCCCTTAACCCCAATATCATATCTATAGGGGTCATCTTGCTGGTCATGACCAATCACCATACCAAGTTTGAAGTTCCTAGGCCTCAAGGGTTCTTTAGTTATTGATCTGAAACCGTTTTTTACCTAAGAAGTCAATATGACCTTGACCTTTGACCCCTTGACTCCAAAATCAATAGGGGGGTCATCTACTGATCATGACCAATCACCATATCAAGTTTAAAGTCCCTAGCCTAAGGGTTCTTTCGTTATTAATCGGAAACCGTTTTTTACCTACAAGGTCAATGTGACCTTGACCTTTGACCCCTTAACCCCAAAATCAAGTAGAGGTCATCTGCTGGATATAACCAATCACTATTACCAAGTTTGAAGTTCCTAGCCTAAGGGTTCTTTTGTTATTTGATCAGGAAACCGTTTTTACCTACAAGGTCAATGTGACCTTGACCTTTGACCCCTTGACCCCAAAATCATTAGGTCATCTGCTGGTCATGACAAATCACCATACCAAGTTTGAAGTTCCTAGGTCTAAGCGGCTTCTTAGTTATTGATCGGAAACCGTTTTTACCTACAAGGTCAATGTGACCTTGACCTTTGACCCCTTTGACCCGCAAAATCAATAGGGTCATCTACTGGTCATGACCAATCACCATACCAAGTTTGAAGTTCCTAGGCCTTAAAGTTCTTTAGTTATTGATCGGAAACCGTTTTTTGCTTACAAGGTTAATGAGACCTTGACCTTTGACCCCTTGACCCCAAAATCAATAGGGGTCTTACTGATCATGACCAATCACCATACCAAGTTTGAAGTTCCTAGGCCTTAAGGTTCTTTAGTTATTGATCGGAAACCGTTTTGCTTACAAGGTCAATGTGACCTTGACCTTTGACCCCTTTGACCCCAAAATCAATTAGGGGTCATATCTACTGATCATGACCAATCACCATACCAAAGTTTGAAGTTCCTAGGCCTTAAGGTTCTTTAGTTATTGATCGGAAACCGTTTTTGCTTACAAGGTCAATGTGACCTTGACCTTTGACCCCTTGACCCCAAAATCAATAGGGGTCGTCTACTGATCATGACCAATCACCATACCAAGTTTTTGAAGTTCCTAGGCCTTAAGGTTCTTTAGTTATTGATCGGAAAACCGTTTTTTGCTTACAAGGTCAATGTGACCTTGACCTTTGACCCCTTGACCCCAAATCAATAGGGGTCATCTACTGATCATGACTAATCACCATACCAAGTTTGAAGTTCCTAGGCCTTTAAGGTTCTTTAGTTATTGATCGGAAACCGTTTTTGCTTACAAGGTCAATGTGACCTTGACCTTTGACCCCTTGACCCCAAAATCAATAGGGGTCATCTACTGGTCATGACTAATCACCATACCAAGTTTGAAGTTCCTAGGCCTAAGGGTTCTTTAGTTATCACTCGGAAACCATTTGGTCTACGGACCGACGGACCGACAAGTGCAAAGCAATATACCCCCTTTTCTTCGAAATGGGGGCATAACAAATTCATTTACAGATGAACTTAATGTAAATACAAGCATAAACAGCTCAATGTTAAGTGTTTGTTTGGTTTGATGGTGCACAATTTTTGTCATGTGGTGCTGAAACAGGAAAGATAATTTTGGCAAACCTTGAGTGTTACAAACTTTATGCAACACCAGGGGTCAATACCACCTCACCTACTGGAGCTAAGACTAATGCATTGATTCTAGTTATTCAAACCAATTAAGTTACCTCTAATGATCATGCAGGGATAAAATGTGGCTACAATTTGAATGCCTCAACCATTAAAGGCAACTCCTCAGCCATTATAAGGAGGTATCAAATCTAACAAGAGCCGGTTGAACCGGGTGATGCTCCCCGAATAGGTTTTGGACACAGGAAGGTTTACCTCTTGTTGTGTCAGAGCTATGTCACAGACAAAGTTCAAAGTGTAAAAACAACCCAAATAATTGTGCACGACACATTGTCTCAATATGGTGATCATTTTTGTGAAATAGTTGTAAAATCCGATTTCAAATAACAAAGTTATGCGCCTGACATTATTTTGCTGCAAGGTCATGCTGTGACCTTGACCTTCAAGGTAGCGACCCAAATATTGCATGCGACACGTCGATTCAATATGGTGATCATCTCTGTGAAATAGTTGTTAAATCCGACTTCCAGTAACAAAGTTATGGGCCGGACACGATTTTGCTGCAAGGTCATACCGTGACCTTGACCTTCAAGGTTGTGACCCAAATGTTGCGCGCGACACAATGTCTCATTGTGGTGATCATTTCTGTGAAATAGTTGTAAAATCCGACTTCAAATAATGAAGTTATGTGCCGGACACAATTTTGCTGCAAGGTCATGCTGTGACCTTGACCTTCAAGGTAGCGACCCAAATGTTGCGCATGACACGCCATTTTAATATGGTGATCATTTCTGTGAAATAGTTTAAAAATCTGACTTCAAATAAGGAAGTTATGGGCCGGACACGATTTTGCTGCAAGGTCATGCTGTTACCTTGAACTTCAAGGTAGCGACCCAAATGTTGCGCGCGACACGTCGTCTCAATATGGTGATCATTTCTGTGAAATACTTTTAAAATCAAACTTCAAATAACAAAGTTATGGACCGGACATGATTTTGCTGCAAGGTCATGCTGTGACCTTGACCTATAAGGTAGCGACCCAAATGTTGTGCGCGACACGTCCTCTCAATATGGTGATCATTTCTGTGAAATATTTTTAAAATCCGACTTCAAATAATGAAGTCATGGACCGGACACGATTTTGCTGCAAGGTCATGCTGTGACCTTGACCTTCAAGGTAGCGACCCAAATGTTGTGCGCGACACGTCCTCTCAATATGGTGATCATTTCTGTGAAATATTTTTAAAATCAAACTTTAAATAACAAAGTTATGGACCGGACACGATTTTGCTGCAAGGTCATGCTGTGACCTTGACCTTCAAGGTAGCGACCCAAATGTTGCGCGCGACACGTCGTCTCAATATGGTGATCATTTCTGTGAAATATTTTTAAAATCTGACTTCAAATAACAAAGTTATGGGCCGGACACGAATTCGGGACGTACGTACGGACGGAAGGACAACCCGACGACTATATGCTCCCCCGAAATTTTTCGGGGAGCATAATAAAAGATTTATTCTGTAGAAATTATATCAATAAGATTGAACATATGGGTTAGTGTATAGTAGCCAATATGAAACCAGGAAAGGAAACTAGTTAAGAATATTATTAATTTATGTTCAGGCCCGGCTTTTTAATGTTTAACCTTTTTATCAGTAGAACACAAAGGTTTAGTCTTTATTCCACACTGCTATGATCTTGAATCCTCTCAAGATGATGAATTCAAACATTTAGTTATCCATCAACCAAACTAAACATTGTTCGAGACCTGCTCAAGTGTCTTGTAACAATGTCAGATAGGGTATCTGACTGTATAGGAGGCCATCGAGAGTAGAACATAAGCTACCACTCTTCTTTTTTTGAATTAATCTAAAGTTATTGTCAGAAGCAGTCTTCCAATAATGATTGATCAGAAACCATTTTTACCTACAAAGTAAATGTGTTTTTTGTTTGTTTAATAGGGTTTTATGTCACACCGACACAGTATAGGTCATATTGCAATGTTTCAGCTTTTACTGTTGGAGGAAGCCCTCAGATGCCCTTCTGTGCATTATTTAAGCCATGAACAGGCACATGAGTAGAACCACCAACGTTCCTTAAGCTAGCCGGATAGCTTTCTTACATGAAAGAATCCAAAGTCCCTGTCGGAATTCAAACCCACAGCGGTCAGGGGCAAGTGGTTTAAAGTAAACAACCTTAACTACCCTGCAACAGACACCTTAAGGTCAATGTAACCTTGACCTTTGACCCCTTGACCCCAAAATCAATAGGGGTCATCTACTGGGCATGACAAATGTACCTACAAAGTTTAAGGACCAAGGGTCTATGGATTGTCAAGTTATTGATTGGAAACCGTTTTTATCTACAAGGTCAATGTGACCCAGAGCTGTGACCCCATAACCCAATAATCAATAGGGCTCATCTACTGGCCAAGACCAATGTACCTACGAAGATTGAGGGCCAAGGACCCAAAAGTTATTGATCCGATACAGTTTTTACCTACAAGGTCAATGTGACCTTGACATTTGACCCCAAAATGGGGGTCATCTACTGGTCATGAACAATCCCCATACCAAGTTTTAAGTGCTTATGCCTTGATTTGGCCTTGGTTCTTTAGTTTTTGGCCACCGACAGACAAATGCAAAGTCATATACCCACTTCTTTAAAGGGGGGCATAATAAGCATGAATCTGGAGACATCCTGCTATTAGGATTAAAACCCATCCTCTTGTTGATACTTTAAGGTCTGTTTAGGTATGTGTCCTGAAGAAACTTACTCTTGACAAGCAGTCTTATCTGTCTGGACAAGTTGAAGATGTATTTCAGATGGCGACACATAGTTACATATTTTAACATGAAGACAGGCATCTTTCAGCTGTACTAATGCCCCAAAACTCTCTTTCTCTGCAATTGAAACAAGAACTGTTGATAGGACAGCAAACTCGACTATTCTCAGTGCTTAATAGTAAAATAAAAGCCTGGATAATGTATGAATTAACAAAGATGAAGATTTCATTCAGAGTAAATACATATAATTTACATGAAATAGTTATGAGTCTTGGATCTCATTAAGTTCATAAAGGGCCTTATTTCATTTAAAATCAAAGACAGTTTTTGCTCTTACATGTCTTAGTGACAATTCAATTCAAAATTAATGAATTAAGTTCCATATGAATACAATCAGTAAGCTTGTGAAAGATTAATGATGCAAGCAAGACTTAAACCAAAATTTTCTCAATTCATAAAGGGCCATTATTCATTTATAATAATTTAATGTCAGTATGATTGGATAGTGTTCTCCAAGTATGATCCCTAAGACATGTATTAAGTTTCATGTGAATACCTTCAATAGTTATGAAGATCGATAATGCACAAAAAACTTAAATATTTTCTTAGTTAAAAAGAGGTCATAATTCGGTCAAAATCGATGAAAGAGTTATTGGCCTTAGAAAGTTATCTTTAATTATGATCCCACAAACATGTATGAAGTGTTAGGCAAATACCTTAGTTGTTTTGAAGATTAACGTTACATGCAAACTTTTAATTTAAGAATTTTCAAAAGTTGCATTAATGTATAACAAGAGCCATGTCAACATGGCCATCCCCCGCCAAATGTGTTTGCTCATTGGAAGAATGTATATGTAGTAGAGCAGAATAATTCCATTTTAAGAGGTCTTTTGGTAATGAAAACTGATCGCTATAGTGATTACAGATTTGAAACCTATGTGAATACTGATGGCTGAAAATAACAAAGGGCAATAACTGAAAAATAATGCAGGGTAGGTTATCATCCTTGTGTGCTGCATCCCTCCTCAGTAAAATCTATCCACCTATGAAGTTTCAAGTTGATACCTCAAATACTTTTTGAGAAAAAAATTGAATTGAAAAATTAAGTATGAAAAATAACAAAGGGCAATAACTCAAAAATTATAAAAGGTACAGTTATCATTCTTGTGCAGTGCACACCTCCTGAGTGAGATCTATGCACCTGTGAAGTTTCATTTTGATATCTCAAAGGCTTTTTGAGTTATGCTCTGGACAAAAATTAATTTTGAAAAATAACAAAGGGCTATAACTCATAAATAATGCAGGGCAGAGTTATCATTCTTTAGCACTGCACTCCTCCTCAATGAGATCCATCCACCTATGAAGTTTCAAGATGATACCTCAAATACTTTTTTCAGATAAGCTCTGGACAAAATAGCATGAAAAAAACAACAAAGGGCAATAACTCAAAAATTGTATAGGGAAGAGTTATCATTCTTGCGCACAACATTTCTCCTCAATAAGATCTATCCTTCTATGACATTTCATGTTGATATCTCAAACACTTTTGAGTTATGCTCCACTCAGGTGAAAAATTAGGTATGAAAAATAACAAAGGGCAATAACTCAAAAATTATGAAAGGAAGAGTTATCATTCTTGTGCACTGCACACCTCCTGAGTGAGATCTATGCACCTATGAAGTTTCATGTTAATATCTCATAGGCTTTTGGAGTTATGCTCTGGACAAAAATCAATTTTGAAAAATAACAAAGGGCAATAACTCAAAAATCATGCAAGGTAGAGTTATCATTCTTGTGCACTGCACTCCTCCTCAATGAGGTCTATCCACCTATGAAGTTTCAAGTTGATAACTCAAATACTTTTAGAGATATGCTCCGGACAAAAATTTCGGACGGAAGGACGGACGGACGGAAGGTCGGACGGACGGACGGAGACTATTACTATATCCTCCGCCGAAAATTTTCGGCGGGGGATAAAAAATGAAGTTTGGACAAACATTAAAAAATAAAAATCATCAAAGTGTAACATTATTGCCAAAAATCATCTAAGCAAAAAATGAATGCCCTTTGTCTAAGATTTTCAAGTGATGTATTAGGTTTCAAGTGAATACTGCAGTAGTTTTAAAGATTTTGAAACTCTGGACCAAGAATTAAGTTCAAAAGGGCCACCATAATTCTGTCAAAATCAAGGCCAGAGTTATGGGCCTTGGTTAATGAACGACAATTATGATCCCCCAAGACATGTATTAAGTTTAATGTGAATACCTTCAGTAATTTTAAAGATTGATATTGCCAGCAAAACTCCGACTACGAATTAAGTCCATAAGGGCCACCATAATTCTGTCAAAATAAAGGCCAGAGTTATGGTCCTTTGTTAATGAACTCAAATTATAATCCCCAAGACATGTTTTAAATTTCATGTGAATACCTTCAGTAGTTCTAAAGATTTATGTTTCAAGCAAAACTTTGACCATAAATTAAGTTAAGAAAATGCCACCATAATTCTGTCAAAATCAAGGCCTGAGTTATGGGCCTTTGTTAATGTTTGTTTGTTTGATTGGGTTTTTTATG